CCCCCCCCTCTCGACATTTTGCCACTTTGGTGTTCCTCTTTCTGTTAAGCACAAAGTCAACTAAAGGGCTAATGATATCTATTTGAAATAAATAAATGTTTGAAGTGAGGGTGTGTGATAAACTTACCTCTACGTGGTACATCCTGGGTAACGTATACACATATGGCGAAAAAGCCTATTAAGCAACATTTGACTTTTGATTTTAAACTATCATGACCCCGTTGTATGTCGTTTTCGACCACTTTCACAGTACTCATCTTACCTTTTCTCTGTCTGTCCCTTTTACATCTGTGAATCATTCTTCCGTTCCCCCTCTCGAATTTTTCGCACTTTGTTTTTCCTCCCATCTGTGAAGCCCGAAGTCAGCTAAAGGGCCACTGATAACTATCAAAACGACTGCCATTTGGAATGAATAAATGCTTGAAGTGTAAAAGCATTGAGATTTACTCATTACTTGTAGAACTATATATATATATATATATATATATATATATATATATATATATCAGCATATCAAACTAAGTTTTGCTACTCTTGTTTTTGGGAATCGATGTGCACAATTTTTCCATTTCCAAAACTCAATTATGATTATCCATCCCCAGGCTGCTGGAACAATTCTTTGCTTTTTTTCATCACCTAAGAAGCGGAGGTCCTAGATCCGAAAAATGGATTTACTTAAAATACTTGACGATACCCTGATGCCTTGAGATTGTCTTCAGTTCTCCACCTTTAAGCATCCAATTGAACCTGATTACCACCAATCTCGCCCATACTTCTGAAGCGCGAACTTAGTTCCCGTGTTATGACTCATACAATTAAAGAGCAAAGTTGTCCAGTTGCCAAATCAGAGAGATTCTCCCAAAACCCTTTGAGGGGGGGGGGGAAGAGAAAGTTATCCGGACATTATGATATTTTTAGGTTTTCACAGCTCTTAGTTTTATGTTGCCAAAATGACGTCTAACAGGAGTGTGTGTTAGGAGTAAATATTTACGGTCATTCTAACGTTTTAGCTTGATGAACGAGATAACATGAGTGAACTAAGAACGATTTTTTTGGAAATAACAAATTTGTTGCATGCATAAGCGAATGGATAAAAAAATACACTAATTGGTAAGGCCATTTAATCCTGAATTTGGGAAATTTTAATTTGGCAGTCAGGTGAGCTAGAATTCAGAAAGGCAACAAATTTAAAGCACCATGGCTCATTTCAAAGTCATTGTACTCGATTATTCCTATTTCATTCGCTTATCAGGGCGTACCATTTAGATAAATATGAACCCCCCCCCCACCATTTTCATAATAGTTCAAATTTTAATTACGTGTAATTTTCCGATTGGGTGGAATAGCTAAAAAGCAGCTAATAAGGCATGAAACAGGTAGAGTGTCTGCGAGTAGTTGATAACCAGGAAACGCTGGTTGAGACAAAGCGGCTCAGGCGAGTGAACTACTGATTAAGTCTGGCTAATATAGGGGTATGACAGAAAATCGAGTTATTGTCCAAAAGGATTTCATGGCCCTTACCTTTTGAAAAAGATAGGTAGGTGTTAGAATTAGCGAGTCTAAATATTTCCGGGAGTAATTGTATCAATATTTACAGGTGACAGTAACATAGCTTTCAATAGTTAGACAAGTTAAAGTCCATTTGCTGCAGTTACATTGGATTTAGATTACAAAATACACCACAGTCCAAACGGAAGAAGGCAAAGCTGAAGAAACCAGAAGTGCTAATAGTCAGAGGTCAACCGAGATGAAACAGCAAGATAGGCGGCTTTTATGCAAATTATATTGAAATGCCCTCGGCCATTTGGCAGTTAAACGCCAAAGTTAAGGAAAGACGAGATCTCGCGTACAAATTTTAAGCAGCTTGTTCAAGCCACCATGTAACCATTTATTGATTGACCTTCGTGTTTCAATTACTTTGGAGTCAATCAATTGCCAACGTATTTGCACTAATGTTTCTTTTGAGTAACATACATTCCATATAGAAAAATAAACCCCTGAACTCCCAAATTATTTTAATTTTGGAAAAAGGGCACCCAGCAGCACGCACGCATGTCTCACAGCAGACTGATGGTGGTGCATCAGGCGAAGGCTATAGACACGTATTTAACATATTTCAAGCGACAATCGTGCCTTCTGCTACGAGTCTACTAGCAATGGAGCGTATTTTGAAAGAGGACCATACGGTTCTGTAGGGTGGTAAGGTATGTCAGAGGGAGAAACGGAAAAGGGACACACAATACAATCTATTCTTAAGGAACAGAACAATTTGGAGACAGGCCTCGCACAAAGCCGATAGCGAACGAATGATATTAAAAATCTAGCAAATTAAGCCTTGAAAGGACGAGCGATTGAAATATACATTCGGCAGTTTAAGAGACACGTTATTTAAATTATGAAATATCACATCTCAATTTATCATGTTTATTTACTTATTTATATCAAACGGCAGGCGTTTTGATGGTTATCATTAGCCCTTTAGTTGACTTCAGGCTTCACAGAGTGTAAGGAACATCAATGTAATAAAAAGTCGAGACGGTAGGGGGAACAGAAGAGTGTTTCAAAGACGAAGGTATAAATGGTAGAAAAAACGTGAGGCGAGTACTGTGAAGGTAGTCGAATATGATATACAGTGGGGTCATGGTAATTTGAAGTCAGAAGTCAACTGCCGGTTTGTAGACTTTTGCCGTATGAGTATACGTTGCCCAGGGTGCACCACGTGGAGGTAAGTCTATCGCACAACCCCCAATTTATCACGTTAAATAGATGTTTTTTTTCAAACACACGAAAACGGAAATTGATAAAAAAATTGCAATGATAATTTAATACAAATTTATAATTTGAATTTTCGAAAAAAGTCACATTTTAAAAAACCTCAAATTCAGCATCATGTGTACGAAATTTCCATTATGTAATAAAAAAATGCACTCGAATTTCATAGTTAACGCCTCCATATTATGATCACAGTGGATCTAAATTGAATGGTAAGAAGGAACTGCGACTCAACTTGCTTTATCAATAACTTATTTATTTATTTCAAATGGCAGGCGTTTTGATAGATATCATTAACCATTTAGCTGACTTCGGTCTTCACAGAGGGAAGGTCCATCAAAGTAGCAGAAAGTCGAGGGGTGGGGAACAGAAGAGCGATTCACAGATGTAAAAGAGGCAGTCAGACACAAAGGTAGAGAAAAAGGTAGGGTGAGTACTATGAAAGGGGTCGAATATGACAAACAGGGGGGGGGTCGTGGTAGTTGGAAGTCAGAATTCAAATGCCGGTTAATGTATGAGTATACGTTGCCCAGGGTGCACCACGTGGAGGTAAGTCTATCGCACACCCCTTATCAATAACTTAGTCTATTTAAATAGCATTCAAGAATTAGCTCAGACTATCCATCTCCTCACCGATCTACTATCCATTTAAACGCTAACAACCTTCAACGGCGCTTCCCGAACTAGAGCGAACCGAGGATTAAATCAGGCGATAGGTGAAATTATGGCATTGCAAGTCGCCAATCGCGTTGGTAGTGGGGCATTCGAAGAACGCTTAGGCAACAATCGTCAAGTTGCAAACAGACAGATGCACGTAGTGCGGGAAAACATGCGAGAACAACGATCATCGACACTCACCGAAACCCAACCGCTGTGGCAAATGCTCGCTCTCCCCTCCCCCCCCCCTCTCTCTCTCTCTTAGTCCTTACTTGTACCTTTCACGTATTTTGTCAGAAATTAAAGTTTCAAATGAAGTTAGAATAAGTCTAATGACTAGCAGTACCAAACCAGGTCGCCAAGAGTTGAGTGCAGACGAAAGTCTGTTGCGTGATAACAGGTAAAGCACAAAGGAGTCGGTGGAGAAGAGTAATGTGACAGTGAAGAAAGAACCGTACCAGCAGGCAAGCGACAAGCAAATGGACAATGCAATTTTGAGGAAAAAAAGTTGAACTCATACAAACGACTTGACATGACAGATTGGACAGCCGACTTAGGGAATGCACTTTTAAGACCCGGGGTGGTAAAAGTGACAAATAAGAAAATGTACGTACAGATGTCTCCAACTGGTCTTAGTAAGATGGAAGCGGAAAGATTTTGGGATGAGAAGGTCTGCATGTAAATAGAGAAAGACAAAGAGCGCCGGCACACAAGAAGTACAACCTAGTTCGTGTCATGTTAGCCACTTATTCAAGCTTCTCGTTAGTAGCCTCGAGTGCAAGGTCAATAGTTTGGTATTTTTACAACTGGAACTGGTTAGTAATAGGACCACTCTGATTGGCTGTTGAGATTAGAATAGCGATAGGGTAAATCATAGCAGCCCACAAACACACAACTTGCGAGTCATTAAATCCATAAGGACAACCAATTTGAGTGACCGATTCAGAAGGTAACAATTAGAGGCTAATCCCACTATTTCCTAAACATTAGACCCTTTCGTTGCAACTACAATAAGCATTGCAATATTAAGTTGACCGTAATCATAGAGGTAGACTCAGACCCGGAGGGATAAAACAAAAGACTGCAACGCAGCTTCATATTCATAACGTTGAAAACCAAAATAGAGTGAGACTTATAAAAATCTTTGCCCTAAAATAACTGACCAGCTATCAAGAGTGGCTAGAATAAATATAGTAGAGGCAAATGGCTTACCGAAATGGTGCACAAATAGAGGAAGAGAGGAGTCAATGGATAACAAAATGGAAAGGGAAAAATCGGCAAGCCAAACCATAAAAATTGGCATTATTGATAAAATTACAGAATGAGTGATTGTATTTATTCCACAGTGTCCAATATATAAAGTCTATATAAATAAATGAATTCTAGTCTCAACCATCAATGAGAATAGCAAATAAGTCCAATACACGTGAATATGGGGGATGCTGGAGAACGAAGGAATAAAGGCAAGAGGTGTGTATTTTGAAGGTAGACAGTGACGGAATAATAGAAGGAGATTCACGTGGCGAAGAGGGGGAAGATAACAGTTTAGAAAGTGACCTTGACGTGGAACTTGCGAGGTACGCGAGAAATACGCCAGGAGTCCTTCTCCTCGTGTTTATTGTAGAGCGGTTCGATACGCATTGATTTCTTAGCTTTAGATAGTTTGGTGGTATCTCCGAATTTGAAGAATTTGGGCGCATACTCCACCAACCATTTGGGATCAATTGTGGTCACTTCACGCATGTACTCCTTTGTGGTCATTACCAATTCGTGGTATACAACCCTGAAATACGAAGATAAATGTCAGATAAATTACAGATTATAGTCAGAGGTTGAGATAAGTGTGCGCACATAACACTAAGCACCCTTATTGTCAGTTTTTTATCTTTTGCACAACAAAGTACAAGAGAATCAAATTCGGCCAAATCCCTTATCGTCCCGACAGACCTTAATAATCACAACCCCGTTTCCACTCATTCAAAACTCTCACTTTTTAGCCTTGCCTCATTGATTTCCAGTTACCCTATTTAAACCCGGCCCTACTAAACCCTTATTCTCCTCATTTGAAATTGCTGTTGTATCCTACTGGACTTCAGAAAGTATCTTTTGAGGGGGGGGGGAGGGAATTCGAAGTATAACTTGGTAGGATTTAAGGTGGCTTTTTAAAGACAAATTCGCATCAAGAAACGGCGCATTCTAATGCCTTTTAGTTTTTGTTACGCATTTGAGTAGTGCTATGGAATATAACATGAAGTTGGCTGTAAGTGTTTCACACAATCTTCGCAATTCGTTGTTGATCATGCAAAATGGACGAAGTTAAAACTTCCGAAGGATAAACCCCACTATAACTTGGCTTAGAGGATAGTAGGGGTGTTTGATTTGGAGGTAAGTATAGTTTTACCCCAATAACGTAGTCATAAATGAGCCACTTCTTGTCACCAATATCAAACACGTACAAAAATAGACGAACTCTTTAATATTATTTTGTTTCTAAATGGAAAAGTTGATGCTGCACATCCCAATTTCGGCGACGATTCTTCCATAGTTAACCCGAGAACTGATCCAACAATGGATTTTAATAGGTCGTCAAAAAATTTGTGGGTCATCCTAATTTCGGTTAATCACTTAAATTCTCTGACTCAATTTTAATCTTTTAAACCAGAATTGACAAGGGGGGCTGTAAGCACTTGGACTAAAAAATTTGTAATGGTTTTAGCAGCTAAATGAGGCTCACTTTCTAGAAGACTGGCCTGCTTGTGACCCCCTATAGCATTAAATACCGAGTCGTGGTCTAGTTTCTACCTTGGAATTAGAAAGGTTTTAAGTCAATAAATTCCCCTTATGAAAGTTGTAGCTTCTCAATAAGATCAATACGCAGTTCAGAAATTAAATCAGGAACACTTACCAGTCCGGTTGACGGTTGAAAAGAGACGAGGAGGGATGAATGTAGACAACCTGTTGATCAACCAGTGTTCGATAACCCTCTTGAGGATCTTTCTTGGCAGCATTGCGGAAGAAGCCGGACAAGATAGCCTTCTGCACAAGAGCTGTCTTTCGACCACATGAGAGCACGGCCAACTTATGCCTATAATAAAAGTAATCAATCAAATAGTGAATACGAGAATTTCCCTTATCCCCATTCCAAAAATCTATACGAAAAGTCTTACCTATCCATAATACCAAGAAGTTGTTTTCGTACATCTTGAGCACGTTTAAGAGTCCTAGCTTGAACGAAGTTATCATAGCACCAGGGTGCAGAGAACTTGTTGTTCTTCCAAGCGTTGTACACAGCCAGTAAGGTTAAATGGTCACCCTCAGGTTGATGGAATTTAGCTTTGCGCTGATCAGCCAACTCCGTTTTCTCCTAGAGTGGAAATTAAATTGAATGCTGGTGCTTCACTTCTCGCTCAAGTGAAAAGAATAATTTGAGAACACTTACCTTAGGACGATAGAAGACATTCTGAACTGAAAGCATAGAGACGATGGTGAGAACCTCCTCAGAACAAGCCAATTGGACAGACATAATTAACATCTTGGATAACATGGGCTCAAGCGGGAATTCGGCCATCTAAAAGACGACAAATCATTTTAGTCACGCGCAAAACTTAGAACGGTGACTGCCTAAGATATATATATATATATATATATATATATATCACTTCTCCACATATAATTTTGACAGTATAAGCCAACTTCGCTTATTGCAGTAATAGGAAAGCTGATGTAAAATAGAAGTAATGGGGAACTACACCCTTAGTACGAATCATCGTAAAAGAAAACATTCAAAAGAAACGACTACTGGCGAAGCAAACTAATGCATGATAACAATATATCATCATTATTTTATATACTTCAAAACTATCAAGACGTTTAAAACACCAAATACTCTGATGTGGCTGCTCTTACTAGCCAGGTTATAACCTTACTGTACCAATTAACAGACAAACAAGTCAAACCAACTTAAAATTTTACATTATTATTGGGCTTAAATTACTTCTATCAGTACAAAGTATACCAGCGACATTAATCCAAAGCCTAGACTTCTGGCTTTAGAAGGTTTTACCTTGAAGATCTTGGAAACACCCTGAATGATGATAGAGGATTCATTAAACAACCATTACGCATTGGAAAAATGAGGCTTATCTAACGAAAGAGTATTCACATCATTACTCAATTCCACTATTTTTACAGTTTATCATAAGCAGATTTCGTAATGTGTTGTTGACTTTCTGCATGCCCCAGTAAACTTAACTCAAATTACTAGGAATCCAGTCTTCTCGATGTCCATACCTGTATGGATGTGGCATGCAGAAATGCCTGCTAGCGACTTCACAAAATGCTTATCATCATTGATATTCAACGAGCATTTCGATGTACAAGCACATCATTAATAAAATGCATACACTCATGGAGAAGCAAAATAGCATCTTAGTTCAGCATAAAACTAAAAGTATCTATCACATCACTCCCCTCTCGTTGCCCAAATCGATAAGATGAAGGGTGGGGAAGTAAAAGGAGCAGAAAGAGGAGGGGAGGGGGGGGGGAGGCGGGAGGAGGGCAAGGGAGACATCGAAAAAAGCGACATGCACACACACACACACACGTACCCTTCGTCCAAGACGAGTGAGCAGTCCTTCGTCATCCAACGCTGAGAGAGCGTGTAGAGTTACCATGGCAGCGACCAGTGTCTACAATAATAAGGAGGACAAGTTATGCTATGAAGAAGGGGACGAAGATGAGTCGGGACGGGCCAAAGGATTTCCGGGCTTCGCATCAGAGTTCAAATGGGCTAACAGATTATAACAATTGTACGCTTGGCTTAAGGCAAAGAAATGTCACAAGATGTGTGCATAATAGCAATATCCCAAGAACCCGAATTTACAGATAACTGTCAAATGCAGATAGAAGTTAACGACAGGTTTATTAGCTGGCATGATTTGCTGCGCATACCAGCATAATACCCTGTTTAATGTGGAATAATTAAGCTTCTTAAGTACTCATGTTTAGAGAGAGAAAATAATGGATTTACCTACTCGGTATAAGCAGCGGGATAGGTCCTTCCTCCCATTGGATGTGCTGCTGTAAGCAACGAATCTACGCTTTCACAGACTACCATATTAGCCGACTCACATTCTTATTACTTACAACTAGAGACTGGCTAACAGAGATCCACTTAAAATCAAACATACCGAATGCAAATATAACCAGTCAGCTGATGTAGATCATGGTGTCTTAAACACAGTAGCAAGCACTACTCTTGAGTAATATATTCTCAGCAAATATAGAAAATAAAAAATATCAAGGAGAACTAAGGATGTTCTATTCGTCATTGTTCCTTCTTAATCTACAACCAGTAATAATATTCAATGACCAGAAGAAAATTAAACCGCAGTAGAAATTCGACGAATATTCTTGACTAAACCGAAACTCAACTCCAAAGAAAACAAAATTGACGTAAAAGGGTCGGCCATGCCTCTTTTGCCGAAAAATTTGCAATAAGGGCGGTCAAGTATATACGAAAAAAATGTACACTAAACATTCGAAAAGGAGTTGAGGTTCTCCCCAAAAAATAACGCTGTTACACCAGTTAAGTGGTAGCCTGAAGAGCCCAGCATAGGGATGACAAAGTTTAATGACTATTCCATCGGAAATAGATTTAATGCATTGGGCTTTAACCCACTGAGCTCATCTAACTCATAAGAAGATGAGTTAAATAGAGAGAAACCTTGAAGATATATTATATTTTACTAAAGATAGACTTACCTTCACGTGGTGCACCCTGGGCAACAAAAAAGTCTATAAACTGGCAGTTGACTTCTGACTTCAAACTATCATCACCCCACTGTATGTCATATTCCACCATTTCAGCAGATCCCGCCCTACCTTTTATTCAACATTTGTGTCTGTCTGTCTCTTTTACATCTGTGAACCACTATTCTGCCCCCCCCCCCCTCCTCTCGACTTGTCACTTTGATGTTCCTCCTCCCCTCCTCTCTGTGAAGCCCCGAAGTCAGCTAAAGGGCTAATGATAACTATCATAACGCCTGTCATTTGAAATAAAATAAAAATATTTTACTAAATAACGCAATAATGAAGATATATATATATATATATATATATATAAACATACCTGAAGAGGAGGTGGATCCATGAAATCAAAGGATAGGAGATCATTAATGCCCATAGCCTTGAGTTGAAGAACAGTGCTGGCGAGATTTGTGCGCTGAATCTCTGGCACGTTAGTCGACAACATCTCATCACGCTGAGCTCGTTCAGTATAGAGACGGTAGCATTTGCCAGGTCCTGTTCGACCAGCTCTTCCAGCGCGTTGCTTTGCCTGTGCCTATGCCATAAGAAAATAGATGTTAGCTTAAAATGAAGACGAATGTTAGATGGGAACCGTTACGTAGGCACGCTATATGTAAAAAGTTCACTTCAATCGGTTAATTTAATGCTATATACCCGAAGTAGTAATTATTAATGTGTTTGAAATATGCAGAAATAGGATCCCAGCATTCAAATATAAGTTACCGAAACATAAACTGGGTATTATAATCAGCCATAAAGGGTTCAATAAACAATTGAGAAAAAGGTCCAAAACTCCTTTAAAAAGTAAAATATCAGCACAGACTCCTATTAGATCTAACAGGAAAATCAATACCCTATTTCGATACATTTGACTACTTCCACATTACTCACCTTACTTTTTTTCTACCTTTGTGTCTGTCTCTCTTACATCTTTGAAACACTCTTCTGTTCCACCCTCTCGATTTTTTTCACTTTAATGTTCCTTCTCCTCTGTGGAGCCCGAAGTCAACTAAAGGGCCAATGATAACTATCAAAACGCCTGCCATTTGACATAAATAAACATATTCCAAGGAAACAAGAGTTTCATTTTTAGAGTAGAAGATATGCCCTCGTAACAAAACCAACAAAATTCAATTAGACCTATTGCTGGGAGGCAGACAAATATGATTCAAGAAGGCGAAACTTAGGTAGTTAAAAAAATAAATATATCACAGACAGCCTCCAAGTAGTAGCATATCAGCTTTACCTTGAGCAAGCATACTTTGCATTCGAAACCTACACTGACGATACGGGTAAAATTGTCAATAGTCTAAAAGGTGGATTTGATATTAGATGTCTAAAAATGGTCTTCATTGAAGTCACTAATTCATAGGATGAGCCAATTTTAGGCGAAAACATACTGAGGCGATGACTAATTGAATAGAGAGACAAATAACGATTTACTCTGCTTTACAACGAACAAAAAATAGGGCATGTTAATCAACTCCACTAGGCCAAACTCTAGGGCAAAATGAAATGTATCTATTCTTTTTGTTGGAGAGTATAATAAACGTATACTCGGAGGGAGGAAGGAAAAGACAAACAAAAACAAATACGCGTTTGTGTGTGTGTGTATACCAAACAATTTATCTTAATTTGCACACCCGCGCGCAAAAAAACATCCCCCCCCCCACATTGTCGACAAATATGGAAGTGGTGGTGGTGGTGGTGAAGCTGCAATTTTCCTGGGTTTAAAAAGTCGAGACTGGAATCGAAATAAAAGAAACAATTGCCAACAAGTGGAACAAGACTGGACAAAACAAAACCCAAGCGAAATGGAGGGGGAGGGGCAATAAAGATGCGTTAGCCTATTCTCCAGCGTCGTAATCTAATATTCCTTCACGAAATTCGCGCTAAATAATAGAACTATTAGAAGATACAAAAAGCAATATTCAAAAGAGAATGACTCAAAAGTCAATTCTAATTTGATAAAAGAATGTCATCTCAATAAAAATTGATAAAAGAACCGAAAAAGCTACAAGCAACAACATTGAGAAGCAGAAAAATTGAGAGATGTCATAACAGTCCTAAGCCTCAAGGCTAGAACAATGCTATCAGCTATTGAGCTACCACAAAACTGCTACACGGATACACAGAGAATAAATAAAACACGAATAGGATGCAGTATAACTCAATGTAAATTCCTTATCCAGTTTCCATGTAGCAACAGGGAATTTAATTAATTTAAAATTACATTTACTCAAGGGTCTTGTCCTGACGTCGAGACCACGATTCCAGGGTTTAGTGACCTTACAAATGACCCTCACAAAAATTTAATTAAATAGTAAAAAAATCTCATGAGAAGACACACCTAATTTCAAACCCAATATATCCAATTAATGTATGTGGTCAATGAAACAATTGGCATTAGGTAATCGTCACTCGCTTGAGCATAAATCAACCCACAATCATCCAAAAATGGAGTAGAAATTCGCATACTTCCACAAATCTGAACACAGAAAACACAAATCAAAGTCCGTTTCTTATTTACACGTTTCTTGGGACTTGAGGGAAACATAAAACAGTAAAGACCTCAAATGAAATTAGCTTTTTCAGTCCAAAAATTCTACCTCGAATGTCTTCCTTCATTTCATATTTAACAACCCGTATAACTACTAAGGCAACATCTCTGAATGCAACTCAACTACGTCCTATGAACAGACAAATGAAACGAGTTGTAAAAATGGCGTCATAACGCACTGGAGAGCATCTCTCCAATGAGCATTGTATAAATTTAAGGCGGAAAAGGAGCTATAACAAACACACCTTATATAGCGACACGCCCCCCCCCCCCCCCCCCCCCCCAATTAGAGCTGCAACTAAGTAGCAAGGTAAAAAAGGTGCAATATATGACGCGTACAACTTAAAGAGAAACAGTAGGACACAAGGAACTGAAGTATTGGCTAATACAATGACGATAACAGTGGTACAATACTTCTTTAGGCGTATTATAAAAAGGCATTCGAGTTGGCGGAAGTTATGCTTAGGAGAGAGAGAGAGAGGAGAACAAGTCGTTAAGTGCTCTATCTTAACTGGCCCGAGCAGGGAAATTTTTTATTGGTGCGACACAAAAAGTAGTCGCATCAGACAATGGCCATAGAGAAGAATTCTATTGACAAAAAATAGCAACATTTTTTACTGACTTCTGCCATTTATAAGTTAAAGCAATTATTAAATTTGCAATGTTGTTAAACAGCCGTTTTGTAATTAAGCAATCAGGTGAATGACAGGACAAAATTGTTGGCATACTGAGTAAAAGTCGTAGAATTGTATGAACGGATTCTGTTCCTTTAAGATGGTTATTCTCCAATGCTCCTATCTGAAAAAGAAATTTCCAAACTGTTATACTACCAATCCTTGAATCTATCTAAATAGAAAGAAAGTGTTTCGCTCAATCGACAAACCCTCCCTTTATCTACCCAGTCAAAACTGTAATATATCTAAACAGATAGTGTTGATTATATTGGAGAGATAATTACATATCTACCAAATAGGCAAGTCAGAAAAGGGGAGAGGCTGCCAGGCTCTTAACGTAGTAAAATAGTGACTAATGTGAGACAGATGAGATAAGAAGACCTATTGAAGAGCCGTTTGAAGGTAAAATAACGAATCAAACGGGTGGGGGGTAAAATTAGCGAGTTAGAACAAAGGCTGACCTTAAGTATGACAGTAAAAGTAGTAAATCTCCAACCACTTTGAACTAAACTCACAAAAATACAAAAAATAAAGAAAAAAATTAAAAAGCCCAGTCTTCTACGAAAATTATCACCCATGAAATGCCACCAAGAGCACGAACTGTGGATAATCTCTCTAGACAGTAATATAATTTTATAACCTGCTCAGTTGCCCACTTAATAAAGCCACAACCATTTAGAATCTAGGGGGGGGGGGGGGGGGGGGCCAAGGAAGAAGACTTGTAACGGCTCAGTATTGAGAAAGTGAACGCACTTATTAGATAAAGGAGATTCTTCGTTGGCGGCCTTTCACAACCAAGTTCGAACTAAGAAGTCTAACAGTAGACATTTCACAAAATATGAGGGATGAATGAATACGGGCCAAGAGTGTACACACAAATGAAAATTAAAGCAGCAAATGAGTAAAACATTCAATGCCACTGGAAGCATTGTTATGCCCAAGGATGCTTAGAAAACAAGACAAATTGAAACTCAGATAATCCCGAGCATGTCAACTGGAGGATGTTTGTGAACATTTATGAGAGACACTTTGCATTAAAAAAAATTCATACATGTAAATATGTTGCTAAATCAATACATACCTGAGAAATAGGCGTAACAATAAGCTGATCCATGCCAGATTTACTGCTGTACACTTTCTGCTTAACAAATCCAGGGTCAATGACATAGAAAATTCCATCGATGGTGAGTGAGGTCTCAGCAATGTTAGTTGCAATGACCACTTTACGACTGCCTGGAGGAGCGGGATCAAAGATGCGTGACTGCATTTCTGAGGGAAGCGCGGCATAGACGGGAAGGATAATTAGTTCGGGAACGTCGGGACCTAGCGCTTTCATACGGTCATAGAGAATCTCACAAGCCGAGTCAATCTCCTCTTGACCAGTGAGGAAGACCAGGATATCACCTATATGGGGGGGGGGGGGGGTGAATAAATGGGAACAATGTATATTAGTAGTATAAATGAACCATTTTAACCAAGTTATTTATGCTGCCCAAGTGATCCCGTATCAGCTATTATGTCAGGTTGAATAATGGTTGCATAAAAGAAGAGATCTTACTTTTGGGATTTTTGAATAATTGAACCCGAAAAATTTCACAAGTGGCAAGGACGACCATTGGTAGGTGATTGAACAACCGATTAACCCAATACAAATTAAATAGGCGTTTGTTCAGTAACTTCAATTTCGTTAGATTTCCTGAGCTATGATCGGCGATAAATGCCTTTGCACATCGGTGCAACAGATAGTTTAAAAATTAATGCCATTCGTATTTTTCGGCATGGACGTCAAGGTCAACGTGCCGGGTTCGTCCAAAAGTTCGACAAAAAACGGCTTTAAGCTGAAAAATAGATACTTTCCAAAATGACCGCACAACCAACTATCAACTCAGTTGCTACCTGATGGATAACCAAAACCCAAGACTCAAAAAAATAACGCCACGACCAAATAAATAGATATAGTGTCGTGGAGGTGTAAAAAAGGAGAATCTCGATACAAATGCACAATTAAATATTTCAAAGCAAATAATACACTAAGACGAGAGATACCTGGCGGTTCTGTGAGATGAATCTGCATAACGGTATTGAGAGCAGCGTCGAGGTAGTCATTTTCAGGTTCAAGACTGTAGAGGATCTCCACAGGGAAGGCACGCCCAGGAATTGTAAAGATGGGCTGAAATGGAAGATAATCAAAGCATTGAATTCATATACCATAAAATAAACATATCACACCATTTCCTTACGATCCCTCGTTGTTGCCAAATCAAATAAGAAGGCGTAAAATTGACGACAAAATAGAGATAACTGCTATTATCACAATAACATTGGAGAACGGTTGCATAAATATTATTACACTCCAGTCTCTAATCCGCCAATAATTATGTTTACGCCCGGTTGCACTACTGCTAGGAGCTTGACAACAACATTAAACGCTTATCAGTAAACAAAATCAGCTAGAGTTTGATGGCCATTGGTGGTGTACCTTAGCCCATTGAATACAAAAAGGCGAAGTTAAAAGATTACAATATTTATGGAAAGACTTCTCAAGCGCATTTCAATGGCAGCAAGTTCTAGAGAAAAAAGCTAAAACTCCGGCCGAGTGAAATATTATGAAATTAAAAGCATAAGTGCCCTTCAAACATCTGCCTTAAATGAAAATTCTAATGGAAATTAAAAGATAAAAGAGAAATCCGTCAAGGTTGACTTCATCGTAGTTGAATTAATTGCAGAAAATTGACCTATCAGAAATATGTGGGCCAAAAAAATACAGCAAGTTGAGAATAAAGAGGGGACAAATTAAGCCGCACTAAACTTACAGCTTCAAAGAAGTACTGAGAGAATTTGACTGAATCCAGAGTGGCCGAGGTAACAATCAGTTTGAAGTCATCCCGTTTCTGAATAGCCTTTTTAAGGAGACCAAAAAGGACGTCGGTGTGGATAGTTCTTTCGTGAGCCTCATCCAACATGAGTACGGAGTACTGACAAAGATCCGGGTCGATAAGACACTCTCTCAGTAACATACCCTCTGTCATGTATTTGATCTTGGTCTCTGGAGTTGTGCAGTCCTCGAAACGAATTGTGTAGCCCACCTCCTGACCCAGGCGGCAGCCAAATTCTTCCGATACCTGCGTGAAAAATAAATGACATTAGCGTAAGTGTGTAGGGCACATTCTAACAAAACAGTATAAAAGTTTATCCATTAAGTAAAACTAATGCATTAATACTCTTGTTCGCCTATATATAAATACTTCCTGCAAAATGAACAAACAACTAGATCGAAGAGTAATTCTCAAACAAAATCTTTTGATGTGTCTAAATGCTGCTACATTTGTACAATGAACCACGCATGTGCCATAGAGCAGAAATGTTGTTAAGCTATAAACTCATTAAGTTATTCGAATATTACCCTCAGTACCTAGAAGAGAGAATACCTAGAGGGATAAAATCGACTCCATTCCAAAGCATGAAGCAAAAGTGTAGAAATTGAGGAGCGATTATATACCTAAAGACCCTTGCAAAGGTAAAACGGCAGAAAATCCCCCCCCCCCCCCCAAAAAAAAAATATTTTGCAATTCGGTTATCTTAGGCTAAGCAATAACTGATGGGCTTCCAACCAGCATTAAGTAAGAGTACAAATCTCTCTCAATCTCGAGGGATTGCGTCTTTGAAGAGCCAGAGCATTCAAAGTAGAACTAATTCCCCCCCCCCCCCCCAGAAAAGCTACTTTGGAAGTCCAAGCCAACTAATACCTGGAGAAATCAGCGTACAAAATCGACAACCTTTCGAAAAGCCGAGAGGATACAACAGCCAAGGAAAGATTGAGAACTAAACAGGACTAAGGCTATATGGGTCTATCGTAAAGGAGTGCGAGAAACAGAGGAAGTAGTAGAAAGTGATCGAAAATGGGAACAGTTTCAACACAGAACATGTAGAAACTAGCTATGATAAAGAGGTCAAAGAAAGGTAATATAAGCGTCATTGGCAATTTCGGGTTTATTGTGAACCTATAAAATCATCAGAAAATTAGAACAAGCAGAGTGCCCTCCGAGGAGAACTGCAAAGGCTTAGACCACATTCTTTTTGGATTTGAGAAGACCTAGAAAAGCCAATATCCAACAAGGAGGACTAATATTGGGGATGCATAATTCCATCGGACAGCTAAGGAAATAGTGAAGGCCTCACAAATGATTCAACGGACACTTTGTTTAATCATTGCAAACAAAAGCAAGAAAGAGTATCAATGAGGAGGCGCACACTTGAAATTCATAAGAGAATTTTATAACAATGGTGGAGACGTAGAAAAGATGGCATTTTGAATTATTAATGCCTCCATCAAAACATCTCAACGTGCTCACTCTCTCTCTCTCACACACACACACACAATAGACTTGAGAATGAAAGGAATAGACAGTACTACCAACTTCCTCTTCTTCCCAAGAATAGAAAGCAAAGGAAGAAAATTTGTAAAAATCATATGGAGCAATATTGAGACTCAAAGTAACCACCTCAAATAAAAACCCACAAGTGGAAGAGGAGTAGGGGGTAGGAGAACAATTGTAGCGAGATGGAGCACCCGTGTAAAAGACCAGCAGACTTGAAATGAAGGGGAAAAAACAACGACTTCAAACTCCTCGTCCCATTGTTTAACAGTTTCCTGTTTATAGAGTGTGATAGATGCTGCAGAAGTTGCTTACAAAATGAGACTGGCAAATGAGAGGGAGGGGGGGGGGTGGGGAACTAATTGTAACCATTTGCTCGTGAATAGGTGAGCATATTGATTGCATTGTGGTACACTGTTTCATGAGAAGAAGGCATTAGGAAGACTGCGCACATTTTTATGAAAGCGAACTCAATTTATCAAGTGGCAAACTGAAAGAGGCACTTATGGTATAATGCAATTATTGAAATTGGAATGAGGGAAGAAAGTTCACCAGGAAAGAAATAAAATTGTAATAAATTGGCATACAAATTAAAAAAAAAGAATAATTGCCTGATTTGTCTATATAAAGCACAGTGATTTTGCGATTAAGATAAAAATAATTAAATACAAAAAAAATAGGATAGAGAGTGGAAATAAAAAAAAATTAATCCATAGTAATAAAAGGAAGATTAATTAAGTCATAAAAGGATTTTGAGTCTTCCGTCAAATATTAAAGACATTATTATTAGTCCCGTCCACCCACTACTTACAGTAGAAGGACACAAATAGAGGTAGCAATACTCACCATGGAATTAAATTAATAGATGAACAAAATCTGAATAAGGTGAGGAACTTATCCATCATACAATGAATCAAATGAAGACAAAACATTTGAGCATCATGTTAACTGATTTCCTAACAAAAAAATATGGACAAATCAATGCACCTATATCCAAATAAGGTTGGACTCGTAATGTCGTTATCGCAAGCACTGATAATTTATCTCCTCCCTCCATCCCTCCCCACCCACCCCCCACCCCCACCCCCCCCCTCCTCCATTTCCGACTTGACTCTTTTGCCAGCAAGTTCTGCCATAAGAGACAACATTAAATTTACATTAAAAAATTTAGAAACATGTAAATGTAATTTGATTGAAAACTGCCTAAGGAACAAGGCAAACTCGAAACAACAAAAGTTTGATAAGGTATAAATTTAGCAATAAGCAGCGAGATATCTATTAAGATCATTTAGAGAATACCCAAGTGAACAGGCAAAACCGACTCTCCCTGAAAAAAATAATGGAAGTGGCTAAATGCTAGTTGAAAATCGTAGAAAGATAGGTGTTGCAATTGAGAGAACAATATCTAGGTAAATACTGCACAAACCGAGGAGATAATCAAACCAAGAAAGACTTTTCGATAGTTCGACGTTGCTCTTCTGCGTCTTTTTTCTCAGCTCTCCCTCTTTACAAGGTATTGAATTTGTCGTTATTCTATTCCCGGTGCTTTCCACAATCAAAATGGTAATCTTAATTTTTTACTATAATAATAATAATAATAAGTAAAGTAGCATCTTGGCCTCGTAATGAATACTCAAAACCAGTTAGGAAGGACTCATCTTGAAGTAGAATTTGCTTGAATAATGGAACAGTAAGGAATAGTAAAGAAGAAAAAGATCGACCATATGAAGGGTCTTACTCTTTTGGCAACAGACATTGCGGCCACACGACGAGGCTGAGTACATCCAATACGACCAGTTGTGGTATAGCCAACTTCGGCGAGGTACTGAGTGATCTGAGTTGTTTTACCACTGCCCGTCTCGCCGATAACAATGAGAATCTTGTTCTCCTCGACGGCCTGTGAGAAAAAAAAAACAATTTTCGTCACAGCAAAATTTGAAAATAAACAAGTCGGTAAATCAATGAAAAATGGATTAGTACAAGAGTACGACAAATTGAGTATGAAGAGAAAATAAGGGAGAGGAAGTCTTCAAGACACGCTTTATGCCTGTTTCAAACATTTGTTTACTTAAGAAAGGACGGGGGATGGGGGGATTTCGAAGATGCTCTTATGACACTATCACACCTTCAGACAAAATAAAACAATGCGTTGATAATCCATAAAAAAACCTCATAACCTCTGACTTGAAAAATGCTCTAATATGGAGCAAATGTACCTCAGCAATTGGCGATCTACTTTGACGAGGAAACTCACTTTATATTATCTCAACACTCATCAATACTAATGTTCATTCCAAACGCCGAAAATATATGTTGATCACTACATTACAAGCACAATGTTGAAATTCTAAAGCGCAGACTTGGCAAAGATAAATCGGGACTAATTAATGTTCCGAGCAGCAAACGACAGATTTTAAGCTATAAAGTACTATTATCGATTAAACTATACTGACTTTATAAAATGTGCCCACAGAAGCGTATTTAAGTGTGATTAAAAAAGAAAATAAGCCCTCATATTTGTAAGTCTAAACGAACTATTTGGTCACCAAAATTAACCATTTATCAATTTCTTGATTTGGATAAGCATCGTTGGCATTCTCTCCAAGCCATAGTGGAAATAATTTGATCACCCAACAACGAAACAGGTGATGAAAAAAAATCTTGAGAAAAGTAAATTAGTTTTAAGTGATAATTAGACAGAAGGATTTATAAGCTATATAAAAGCATAAAATAAGGGACTACAATCGTGCAAGTTTATTTCATCGAGCATAACATCAGAATTCATTTAACATCTACTCCTGTCGTTGATTAACTATTCCTTATTTTAGAAATTTGTTAGACTTAATACAGTACAAAATGCAACAATAGTGCTGTCGACTGAAAGTTATGCTGTGGAAAAGTGAAATTTTTAAAAAAGACCAATAGTGAGGCCTTCTAGTAAACTTCCGATTTCTATTTTTTGCCTCTACTACAAACGGAACTTTGATCTTGACGCTCCCTGATTAATCATAGCTGACAGAATTAGTCGTAAACATTGGATGTTAACAGGGAGGGAAAACAATATCCCAATAAACATAAAACCATATTCATTCAGATACAGTCAATAGACTAAATGAAACTGATGAAGATATTTGAGGCTTGACATACCTTAAGTAATTCATCCTTTAATTTATAAATGGGCAGAGATTGACGCTGTTCAATGATAGAACGGACGATCTTTTTGCCTATAGCTCCGCTTCGAGCACCTGCACCATGTACGGCCTTCTTCCATTCAGGTACATCTTTGAACTGGTCCATTGTGCTAGTTCTGGTCTGTAATGCTGGTGCTTTCCCCACTGAAATCATAATAAACATAAAAAACGTTATTTGCAATTCACAAAATATAACACTTACTAAAAAGAAATAAGTAGTAATACATGAAGCTGCCATAGGATCTTGCCATTCCTTGCCCATGCGTTCGTGAGCAGTGGCCCGTTCTGTACTGAGTTGATTTTGACGTTCTTGCTGCTTCTCTTCTCGACGCTCTTTTTGTAGTGCTTGGCGCATCATTGCTGCCTGTTGAAGGGATCCATCGGGATTCTTCACGATTCGAACTGGAGAGAGCTCCATAGCATGACGACCGTGCCCCTAATAAATCACAAGATTGAAGTAAACATGAAAATACACCTTCAGGTGATTACTAACTAATTTATACTTAATAAACCTATGTGATTGGAATCAGAGAATGTGCTAGCTAAATACGTTAAACTGTTAAAGGCAAAACATTTATGAAGTAAATCTTGACACTAACCATAACCAGAAATGTTTTAATTATCATTAGTTTGCTAATAGGGGGTGTGCGATAGACTTACCTCCACATGGTGCACCCTGGCCAACGTATACTCATACGGCAAAAAAGTCTATTAACCGGTAGTTGATTTCTCACTTCAAACTACCATCACATAGTCGACCACTTCCATAGTACTCACCTCACTTCTTTTTCTACCTTTTCTACCTTCGTCTTTGAAACACTCTTCTGTTGCCCCCTCCCTTTCGACTTTTTTTCACTTTGATCTTCCCTCCCTCTGTGAAGCCTGAAGTCAACTAAAGGGCTAATGTTAACCATCAAGACGCCTGCCATTTGATATAAATAAATATAGTTTGCTAACAGCTGTATTCTACTAATCAAACTGCGAGTTTCCATTAAACAAAAATAATTTCATTTAGATAGCAATACATTGATTGAAATGAATGTCTTGATTGGTGGTTACATTTCGCTTCCGCCGACTTATGTCACCGCAGACTTATGACACAGTGTCATACAGGGAACAAGGGCACGAAAATATAATTGGCTTCAGACCAAATCGAAACTTTTAAGAGTATAGCAAAGCTAAGAAATTAAATGAAAGCAGTGATTTTGTGAACTTTGCCGAGTGGAAACAATGGAAAGGCACTAAGAACAAAAAAAGGAAAAACAAATAAGGTCAGGTAATAAATAAATCCAAATTCATTTAGGAAAGCATTTACCAAACACCTATCTGGGATAGGGGCAGTGAGAAAATTGAATTCTGACGCATATTTAATAAGTTGGCTCCCCAAAGCACTCGATGGGAGTCAGATCCATAATTGATGACTTAACAGACCAGCACAATAAAAGGGCGATGACATTTTAAATTGAAAAAAAAATAATGCTATTGGCAATGATCGCCTTCAAATGTACAACGAGAAGCAGTATTGGAGGAAATACCCACCAAGTGAGAAGTGAAAGTAATACTACAAGTCATAATGTATAAAAGAAAGCATACCTTTAGGAAAGGTGGTTCCTCTTCCACCAATTCAATTTCAATATCCTCATCAGACTCTTCATCATCCCTCGGTAACAGTCCCGTCTCCTCATCGAATTCAGGTAACTCTGACTTGTCAATAACTCCCGCACTGATCATTTGTTTGTACTCCCACCTCTCCGGTGAACTGATGCGTTGAATCTTTCTCTTGGGTCCTTCATCCTCCAGCACATCCTTATACAAACCCATCAGTGAAGACGACGATGGATCATCAAAAGGTCTATCAGGATTGCGGGGACCGAATACATCCACGTTGTCATCATTCAATCCACTACTTCCCTCTAGCTTACTCACTTCATCATTTCGAGCCTTACTGCTAACCGACCTGGCATTATTAGAAGATGGATTGAGGTCTTCACCTGTCTGTTGATCCACCTCCCTCATACTCAAGCTGGTTCTTGTTCCTGTGAAGGAGAGACACTTGACATAGACCTTTTGATGCCGCTTGAGAACATCGCTAACACTGGCAACACGACCCTCACGACGAATTTGTGAGACGTGGACCAATCCCTCGTACCGTTTTTGAAGTCCATCCAGTTGGACAATGGCGCCGAAAGCGAGGATAGAAGTGATGCGGCCAGTGTAGATTTTTCCAACCTCAGGGGTGAGAGGCAGCTCAGACTTGAGCTTGGGGCGTTCGCGATGAGAAGGGGAGTTGGAGTGGTCGCGATCGTGACGCCTACTATTCCGATCGTCCCTAGATCGACGATAATCTCTATCTCGTGAACGGTCATGACGACGTTTGCGGCGATCTGGTGAACGACTACGACGGGGGGATCTGCAATTAAGAGAACAACTTGTTGTAACATAGAACAAGATAGTACGCAAACAAATGCATCATCTCTAATACCTAATAATTTGACATCAAGCTAAATAAGTTGAAATCAAAGCTTATGGAAACCGAAGTTAGAGAACCAAGAGATTGCAAACCGAGAATAGAAAAGTGGCCCATAGAAAATCAAAATGACCAATGACTTAATTGAACAACAATGAACAATATGACAAAATGAAACAGAGGAAAAGCGATTATGAAATAGCGATCATCAGTTTTTTTAAAAAAAATAGTAAACAGATTCATTAGCTGCAATGTTAAATCCCAGTGAACTGAAACAGATGAGGAAACTACATTCCAAGCAAATTAAAAATGAATACAGATACAATGAATAGATAGAAAAGCAGAGAATAATCCGAATGATATTTTAGGCGTATAGCAGAAAAGAGATAGAAAACATAACTAAGTAAAGTCTAATGAAAAATTTCAAAAATATTGCCGAATACTTAACAGTAATCCAAAATAATAAAAGACGTTGAAAAAACTAGCGAATTTGAAAAACATATCACACACAAAACGCTGAATGAGATCTTATTTTAATGGATGAAATAGAGCTAAAGACGAATGTCAATTTAAATCAGAAAAAGGATTTAAAGAATGCGAATTAAAAAGGAAAAAAACCTTGAATTACGACGAGATCGATGAAGGCTTTCGCGATGTGGTGATCTATTCCTTCTCTGACGAGGACTACGTTCCTTCTCTTCTTGTAATGTCTCTGCTGCTTTACGGCAATCAACAAGAAGAGACTCAAGGTCTTTCATCATATTAGCGGCGTCGGCATCAGCATCATTCACCTTGGTTTCTTCACCATTGGCGTTCTCGGGTTTAAGAAACTCAACAGTAGACATGGTTTCATCTGAATCAGTAAGTAATCGGCGATTCTAAAACAATTATGATCAAAAAGAGCAAAACTCACAATCTCTTCCTTGGATTCATCTGGAATACAAAGCGCAGGAACTAGCATCTTTCTGGCAACATTGTCAGCCCTTTCGGCTCCTTCCTCAAATGTTTCTTCTTTTTTAGAGGAATCAACTTTTGAGTTCTTTGACTTCTTAGAAGCTTTGGGCAACATTTTTTGCACAAGTCTGAGGATACTTGCTACCAATGCGTCCTAAATAAAATAATAAAACCTGAAACTTAATAACAAACCGAAAATTCTGCATCATGTTTGATAAGGGCGGCTTTAAAGGTATCAAAAGTGTTATTTTTCTTTGCCAAATGAATGACAAACTCGGCTGTAACGAATAGAGATTAATAGGAACAAATACATACCTAAAACCTTGTCTTCAAGGCCTAAATGATTGTTTAGCTCGGTACAGACTTTGGAAACAAGGGAATAATATTCGAGCTTCCTAAAAGCCTTATCATCCATATTACCTAATACTGTACAACACCAACGATAATTTTAACAAACCGCCACAATTAAACAAACAGATGAAGTATTGTATTTACTGTTAGATTATATAGTCGTCATTAAGAGCTTTGGTTTCGAATAAATTAAATATTATAAGTTTAATATTTTTTATCGTTTAGTGGTTATCTATAGAAAGTATTTAAAATTTTAAAAACAAATGATTATAATTATTTATCGATGATTATTATTATAATTTATTTTCTATGTATTTTAATATATTTTAGAACTCAACTTTTTTATCGCATCTATAATCACTTTTTTACATCCTGCGCATTTTTCAGAAATTGTCTAGATCGTTTTGTTTCCCCTCCACCCACATGATTCTCTCTGAAATAAAAAATTGTAGTGATTGTTTATCCTCATTTTCACCGCATGAAAGCCTTTTCACCTATGCTCTTAATTCTACCGCTTTTGTTCGAAGTGCAGTTGACTTTAGCTTAATTTGTGATTTCAAATGCAGAGGGTTGATCGATGAAATAATTTGGTCATCAGACGCTAAATATATAGGTTGCATTATTAAGCTGAGTAGTTCAATTCAGGTATTGTTTTTTTTCAAATTTTTATCCATTAGATATTTTCACTAGAAAAAAATGCATGTTATTGCCACATTGACGTTAGTGAGTATCTTGGCATTCGAGATGCATTTTGGACACCTGATAATAAAAATATAATTATTTTAAGTGAGTTGGGTGCCTTTTTTTCGGTTTGGACATTGACAAATCAGTGGATTACCACTTTGAACAATCCAAAGGTTTGTCAGTTTTCATTTCGCCATCTTATGTCCTACCCTTTTATTGCGGTAGAATTCTGTTTCGGCACTTGCATTTTCTCCTGACGGCCGTTTTTTGTGCATGCTGGAAAGGGTGGATGCAAAGGATGTTTTACACTTCTATGATACCGAAGATTCTCAGTGGTGCCGCTTCAAGTCTACCACCTTGTCTACCCGTGATGCTGCAAGTGTTCAGTGGTCTCCAGATGGTCGGTACATAGTTGTTTTCGATTCTCTTCTCTATGATTCTATCAACATCCTTAATTCCGATGGAAAAACTCTCCACTCTTTGCATCTCTATGGTGTAAATGTTGGTAATAAACCAGCTTCCCATTTTACTCTCGGTATCCGGTCTTTTAATTGGGCTCCTTCTGGCCATATTCTTGCTGCTGGCAGGTGAATTTTCTTTATTTCTTAATTTTTCCTTGTGTAGGTATGACAACACTTGTCTGCTTTACAACCACGCCAATTGGAAGGTACTTGCAGAATTGAAACACCCTCTTGACATACCTATTGATCCTATATTAGGACTAGATTGTTGTGGTGAAATTATTGAGAGTCGAAATTTTGAACGCGGGTCGGTTAAACCGCACAAAGTAGCTATTTATATTGAGAGATTGATCGAAGAACAGCCGTATTATTGCCGGCAATTAACAGCTACAACTCGTGCCGAAGAACTTAAGGATGCTTACGTTATTTCAAGGCTTCCCTATACCGTCAAGTCTACCAAAATTGATCCGAAAAAGCCTAATCCCAAGGTATATTTGCTTCAATAATTGATCTGTGTTCCTGATCTCATTATTAACTATTCATTTTCCCCAAGATAGGTGTTGGTCTATGTCTTTTCTCTCCAAACGGTGGCTATTTGGCAACTAGAGTTGAGAATGCACCACATGCGATTTGGATTTGGTCAATCGGAGGTCTTCATATATCTCTTGTGGGCCTGCTCTGTCATTCCTCTGCCGTTACTTCTGTACAATGGGACCCTCGGTTGCTTCCAGCTGAGTTTACTCGTTTAGCTTTCTGCACGGCTTCTGGACGAGTCTTTATCTGGAGTCCAGAGGGTTGTCTTTCTATGACTGTGAGTTGTCTTTAATTTTCTATGTATTCTAATTAGTTCTAGTTTATATTTTCTGGGGTATTTGTAGGTTCAAGGAATCCTTATTTAAAAGTGCTATGATGGTATTTCACTGTGTGAATAATTGCTACGTGCTAGCCTTACCAATTAATAGATTATAGTTTCAACTTAACATATTGACACTAAAACTTTTTCGCTTTTATCATCCATGAATGAAACATTCCCAAGTAAGTGTTGTAGGTGTGTGATTAAGCTCGTCTAGTTTCTATATTTGCATAATTTGAGTTCGTTGCCTCATATGCCCAATAGTCTTTAATTGATCTTTAGTTAGTGTTTCGTGATGGTTTACACAGTTCACTTTTTCGCGGTTACAATTTTGGCTTATACTTCCCTTTTTTACAAGCGAAAGTGCTTTAGTTAAAGATTGTTTTATTAAAAATTGTCCATACTTATTCCTTGGATTAAAAGTTGACTGGCCTTGTATTAAGTCAAAAATCTTAAATTTGAATAAAAAATTTTCTTGTCAAATAATTATTTACCGCATTGATAAGCAAATAAAGGATCTGGGCTCCTGTTGAGAACTTCGAATTCTCTCCTTCTTGCCGGCATCGACTTTGTTGACATATAAGTCAATCGCATGCATATTTAAGTTAATAAATTCTCGTTTTTACGCTACTTAAATATCTTATTTGGAACTCATTTGCAGGTAGAAAAGCCTGGATCACCGTTTCCTGTCAAGACATTATCATGGGGGCCTTCAGGTGATACTCTTCTACTTCAATCCTCAAAATCCTTCTGTCTTTTGCATCTTAAATCCGCAGAAGGTGAGGCTATTTTTAAACCCCTGGAGCCTACTTGGACGGCTCCTTCTAGAGGAAGAGGTCCTTTAGAAGAGAATAATCGCGATCCCCAAACACCAGCTACCCATAGCACCTTCCCTGCAGATGCAAAATCGGATCTCCCAAAGTGGGCGCTTTCGGCTCATCGGTTGGCTAGAAAAACGTTCAGAGAATAAATATCAACGAAGACTTGTTTTTTTTTGCAAAGTTGTAATAATTTTTCACCTATTTGTATGAAATTTTGTGAGAATAAATCCTATTTTCTAACAAACCCGCGTTTATTCCATAATTACGTGCCTTGGTATTAGTTTTGTCATCTTCTGCCATTTCACTGACCCTGCGCATCTCCTTCCTTTAGAATTGCCTATGCTGGTTGTTCTTCAAGTGCTTGACTTCCTTAGTGCACTGCCTCAACTTTTTAAGCCTAAAGAGTCATTTCTACTATTCATATTTTCATTGCAAGCGATGGGGGAAGCCAACTGTTTTCACTTGATATCGAGCAAATTACATATTCTTGTCAATAGCTAATCGGGGCTAATAGTAAATATCATAAAGCCGGGGTGTACGATAGACCTGCCTCCACGTGGTTCTCATACATCAAAAAAGTCTATAAACTGACAGTTGACTTCTAACTTCAAACTGCCATGACCCCACTGTATGTCATATTCGACCATTTCACAGTACTCATCTTACCTATTCTCTGCCTTTGTGTCTGTCTCTTTTACATCTTTGAATCACCCTTCTGTTCCCCCTCTCCACTTTTTCCCACTTTGATGTTCCTCCTCTCTGTGAAGGCCGAAGTCAGCTAAAGGGCTAATGATAATTATCATAAAGTCCGCCATTTGAAATGATAATAATAATCTATTATTATTATCTATTATTAGCATATTTTTAACTAAGCTTGTGCTTTGAATTAAAAGAACCAACAAATCGCTTGCGCCCTAAATTTTCATTTTGTCAGAATGGTTGATTTTGACCTACTTCATCTCTTCACTAATCTTAAATAAATGTAACCAGAAGTGTATATTCAGTTTAAAGCGGGGTGTGTGATTGACTTATTTCCACGCGATGCACCCTGGGCGATGTATACTCATACGGCAAAAGAGTCTATTAACCGGCAGTTGACTTCTGACTTCAAACTACCATGACTCGACTGTATGTCATATTCGACTCCTTCCACAGTACTCAACTCATCTTTTCTCTACCTTTGTGTCTGTCTGTCTCCTTTAAATCTGTGAATCACCCTTCTACTTCATCTCTCGGATTTTTTCATTTTGATTTTCTGAACCCGATATCAGCTAATTGGCTAAGGATAAATATTCAAAACAGTTGCCATTTGAAATAATAATAACATTCAGTTTGAAGCTGCGCTGCCTATGATAAACCGGTCGGCGGGGGGCCCTGCTGTGGTTACAGTTGCCAAAGCTAAAAGGAAGAGTATAGAATAGTCATAACTCAATGAAAATGTTCCTACACTTGCCTACTCATACTCGTTGTTATATAGTTGGGTGGTTCGTGGCCTGAAGGACTCTCTGGCTAACCACAAAATAGGGAATATCTTGAATCCCCTTCCCAGGTTGAGAAACCAATTCCCCACTCAACAAAAAGTAATTCAATGTATGCAATTTCAATACATTCTCTGTAGATAGTCGTGAGCTGAATTTCTTTCATTCAGTATAGTTTATCAGATGCTTTCTAACTTAAATGAGCAAATTAGAAGCTTGATGTTCAACTTAACAGAGCTAAATATTTCAAATCGACATGAGATTCATGTCTTATGATCGAATCCCCTGAATTCTTTCCCGTTTAAATATGAAGCTTTCCTAAAATATGTACGGTGAATGAGATAAGCAGTTGAATTGGGTTCACTTTTAAAATTAAATCAATTTGCCTTAAGAGACTTAAAATCTATGAAAATTGATTGATAAATAATCGTATGAGGCTCTCTTGAATATATATGCATTATATATATACTACTTGTGTAATTCAATAGTGGTTAAATTTACTGGTAGTTGCCTCGTGAGATTCCTTCTATTTTTTCTTCAACAGTAGGATGAACTAACATAAATCTATTTCGATCGCTACCGATAAAGAATCTTGTTAGTTTGTATCAACTAACAGTTCTGTGGCTCTAAAAATGAAATAGCACAATCACCTAATTAAGTTAATTAAGGAGTACGATTTCATTTTCATTTA